CACAATGGTATCTTCAGGTGTGCATTAACGCCGGAAGATCGTCGTGTAGAGAGCAACGCCAGCGTTATTATAGTCGTTGCTAGTAAGTATCATTTATTGTCTATCTTTAATCATACAATACAATATATTAAATCGATATATTTATTTATCTTCAAATATATTTGGAAAATATGAGAAGAGAAATATGAATAATTTTTTTTTTTTCTTTTTTATTAACACAACCAGCAGAGGATATAAAGTTTCATAATCATTTGATAATTAATAATTGTGCTTTTTTATAATAATGAAAGTATACTTTTTTTCTTGTTTTTCATTTCCTTTACATTTATTCTCTTCAATTTAACCTTTCCTTTTTTGTCTTTTATTATATTATAGAACCACCAAACAATCCAGAACTTCATACAAGTCTAGGACATTATGGTAGATACGAATATCAAAAAGGACAAAAATTGGAAATCAGCTGTAGTGCCTCTGGCGGACGACCACCTGCGAACGTATCTCTATATCTCGGTACATACGATATATACATATATACATATATATATATATATTTATATATAATTTTTTTTATCTTAATAAAAAATATAATATATATAATATCTGATATATTATGTTAATATTCGCAGACGACGAACCACTTGGCAATGACGAAAGACCAATTATCTACGAAGACTCTAACATGAACGAAGTATCCATCGCAGTACAAAATGCTTCACGTAGCTTGGATTGGACCGATAATAGCAAAACTTTAAGATGCATAGCCAATCATATTGCCTTGGATAAACCGAAGGAGAGTAAAATGCAATTGCAAGTTTATTGTAAGTATATATATATATATATTAGAGGGACCGGAAAGTAATGTAGCTTTCTTAAATTAAATTCAAACGAATAAATTTTTAACAATTTTTAACAATTTTTAACAATCAAATATCGACATGCGCAGAAACGACATTACTTTCCGGTCCACCTAATATATAATTCTACATTTTTAATTAATCGAAGAATATTAAATCACGAAAGAATTAAAATTATTTCTTTTATTTACTTCAGATCCGCCACAGCCACAACCTGTCATCGAACATTTTGGATACGTAATTGGCCAACAGGGTACTGTAAACGTAACGGTTTACGCAAATCCAAGGCCACGTTTCTTATGGCGAGTAAACGGCGAGAAAATCGAAGAAGGCCGTCCAGATGAAAGCAATCGTCTTGAGACTTCCACTGCCGTAGATTTGGTAAGAGTAATTTTGGATCCATTTATTGCCATTAAAATATTTCCTAATTCGTATTCGAATGAAAGTGCAAATAAAGGGCAAAAAGAAAAAAGAAAGAGAAAGAGAAAGATAAAGAGAGAGAGAGAGAGAGAGAGAGAGAGAGAAAGAGAGAGAGAAAGTAAGAAACGCAAAGAAGAAGGAAAGAAAAAAAGGAAAAAAAAAAAAGAAGATCCGCGATCTACGCAAAATATCTTTTTACTCGTGTCTCTTACGAATTCTCTCGTTTTTTTTTTTTTTCTTTGAGAAAAACAAACGGTCGATGGAAAGAAGCGGAGGGGGAGGGGGCGAAGGAGGGAAAAAGAAGAAAAATTAAAAAAGAAAGAAAGAAAGAAAGAAAGAAAGAAAAAAATAAATCTTATCGAAGAACGAAACGATCACGATATTGAAGAGAATCGTGATACCACTATCCAGAAGTAAGAATGGTGATGGTGTGATGGCAATGGTATGAGATATAGAAGAGAGACTTGTTTTAGGAAAGAGAAGAGAAGAGAAGAGAATAGAATAGAAAAGGGGGAGGGAAAAGAGGAAGAGGGTGGGCGGGGGGGAGGAGGAGGAGGAGGAGGAGGAGGGAAAGTGAGGAAGGTAGAACAGAAATCCAATATTGCTTTGCGCGCCAGTCAGCCTCGATTTACTGTTCATTCGGCGCGTTCTCCATGCATCTGTGTGACTCGAAAGTTAACCACCAAGCGAGCATTCTGCACCGACGTAATGAAATTCCATCGAACTCAGATGCTTAGAACTCAGAAACGAGAACAACGACGCTTTCGTTGCACCCAGTATATGTATATGTATATGTATATGTATATGTGTATATATATATATATATATATATTATATATATTATTTACATATATATGTATGTATGTATGTACATATGTATAGTATCTCTTTCGCGGATGGATAACGAAGAGGAATAAAATTTCTTACGATTTTGTAAATTATCGTGAATCTTTATAGAATATTGTTTCATTGGATACTAATGAATTTAATATGTCAACATAAACACACACACACACACACATACACATATACAGACATTTATTGTATTTCATAGAATGATATTTCATTAGCTTTACAATTCCTTCGATTTCTATTATTGTTTCTTTTCTTTTTCTTTTTTTTGTTTTCTCTCTCTCTCTCTCTCTCTCTCTCTCTCTCTCTCTCTCTCTCTCTCTCTTTGTCTCTATCTCTCTCTCTATCAATTTACTCCAACGAGATACGCGAAC